TTTTTTTTTATTACACTGTGACAAGAACTATTGATTCAATATTGTAATTGAAATATATGAATGTGTTCAATAGCTGTTCATACTGTGAAGGGGTGGAGTGTAGGGGAACTGTTATGTCATGGCTGAAATATCAGACTTGTTTTATTACACTGTGAGAAGAACTACTGATTCAATATTGTAATTGAAGTATATGAATGTGTCAATCACTGTTCATGCTGTGAAGGGGTGGAGTGTAGGGGAACTGTTACGTCATGGCCTGAACTGATGATTGAATACCTGATGAAGGGGTTGGCTGGCCTGGGAAGATCAGATGCGTGCAGTTTACCTGCACTTTCCCTGTGACTGGAAGGGGTAGACACAAGGTCCTAGGCTCATTTAAGGGTTAGGTTCCAAAGGAAGAATGTCTTCTGTACAAATGTCACTTCCTGCGAAGCAGTGGACTTCAGCCAGAGAATCGCATCATCAGCTGAATCGGTCATCTTTTTCCTTTAAATGATTATTGGTTTTCCCAATGATACTTTGGTATCTCAAAGAACTTCCAGAATCAGTTTTGCTAGGACCACTAGTACCACTAGTAACAAGTAGTAGCTAGGATGACTAGGAACACTACTAATGTCCCTAAGCTGTGCCCCAAAGAGGCAGTAGCCTTCCCTGTGAGTAGGGTCCTGACAGCACACTGAGCCCTCTCTTCCCCTCAGAAGGGAGTCTCTTATGACAACTACCCTGCTTTTATTCTTGGCAGAGGCAATCTTGAGACAATGATGTATAAAATCCTCTGGAAGGACTTTCTTCAGCATCTTCATTTACCTGTTCTTCACAAATATTCATTGATATATTTAAGCAATTCCTTTCAAAGTAACATATATGGTTATCTTCCCTTCTTACCCATGCTGTTTCTGGTCTTTGTAGAAGTGCGCTTCAAAATTTCGTGTACCTATGAAAAAGAATAACAGTGATATAAGCTGGAAATTGTCTTTTAGAATTATCTTCCTCATGGAGGGAGCAATAGAATGAAACTTCAAAAATGAGGAACTTCTGTTGCAGTTACTAGTTAAAACTTAACAATGATACAACAATTCATACTATTTGATTTTCTGATACTAGTGTAGAGGCTGTGTTCCGCTGTGTCACATCCTTAAAAACTATTAGAAGTGTAAGGAGTTCAGGTATAATGAGTGTTTTAAACTACAGAAAATCACAAGATAATCCAACTCTTGTTTTTTTTTTTTGTTTTTTTTTTGGTTTTGTTTTTGTTTGTTTTTTTTTTTTAAAGCAATCACATCTGGAAGTATAACATTAAGCTACATATAGAAGTAATCAGTATATACACTGTTATATACACTGTATCTATGAAGCCAAAGTGTATATGGCAAACATAGTATGCTGGAGAGGAGTTGCATAGCGTCCATAAAGAGAAATCCTGCCTTGCTAACCTGCTGGGGACTAAACAGAATGTCAGGAACATAATAAAAGGCTTCTCATCAAAGACTACCAGAGCAAGTAAATTATAGGATTGTAGAGAAGATACTTGCATGGAAGAAGATCTGACTGAACAGCAGGAAGTTAGACTTAATGACAACTTTTTTAACAATAGTCTTGAGTCAGCAGTACATTCTTCCATAGCATCTATTCTCACCAAGCTATATGAACTACTGTGTAGCTTCAGCAGAGCATTTCTTACATATATGAGCTTACACACATATAACTGCTTAGTGCTTTATAGGAAAAGAGAAATTAATAAAATGATGGGATTAGCAAAGTAGTCAACACTACTAAATCTCATTCAGTGCGAGAAGTTACTTTTGCATACTTACTATTCGACTGCGGGTAGCATTGTTGAAAAATGTGTTTTTATCTCTGATGTTGTACCTGAAAATGTTAAGAGAAATAAATCAGAGATGTTTTCAGAAGTGAGTGAGACAATATACAAGATTTTGATTTACAATTAACTTACAAACCACAGTAAGTAAGATAAACAAATGTTTTAAGGAAATGAAGATGAAACTGCATGATATACTGTGCCCCTTCATTCAGAATTCTACTGGGACTGCAGTAACGGTGGGCACAAAAGGTACATAAATATTAACTAATGTAAAATGCTTTTCTTTTAAGGAGAATGTTGTTTACACAAACTGACATTTCAATCTTTTCGTTGTAAAATATTCTCAACTCTATACAATTATGTGACAGTTCTAACTTGCCTAATACATATGCTTATTACTCTTCTCCACTCAACGTTTTAATTGCTTTAAAATAACAGTTCCACTGGAATCATCATTTGTGAAATTCGCCTTCCCAGTTTAATCCCCTCATTCACTTTTTTTGTATTTTGTATCAGTAGAAGTTTTCAAAGAGGACAATAAATGATATGTTTTATTTTTCACTGAATTTGATGTTTCACATATAAATACAAGGAAAAAAACAAGCAAAAAAAAAAGGGGGGGGGG